CACGAGTCCAAGAACAGAAATTTGGGGACAGCTAGCTGGCTAACTGACTGCAAGAGAGTTATATTTGTGCCCATTCCAAAGAAAAGATGACCCAACACGTCTCTAAATCATTAAATAAGTTAATAATATGATATGTAAGAAAATCAACTGCTGCCTGAAAATCAAGCCAGATTCAGAAGGACATGGCACAAGGGTTATTGTTGTTGAGAAACACGTCTACTCGTGCTTTGTTGACTAGGCATTCAATCGCATGGATATCACGAACTATGGGTAACCCTGAGAAAAGGACTTTCAGAACATGACATAGTGCTCGTGTGTAACATGTACACGGACTTGGAGACAGTGTTGAAACGGAATAAGGAAATGCTGTGTGGTTTAAAATCAGGAAAGATGGGAGTCTGAGTTTTATCCTTTCACCATGTTTATTCAGTCTGATTGAGAGCATTTATTTTGAAAACCTAAACTTACTGACATCGAGTCAATGCTGATGCAAGGCAACCCACTGTGGGTTTCTGAGACTGTAACTGTTACGGGAGTAGAAAGCCCAGTCTTTCTCCCATAGAACTGCTGGTGGTTTTGAACTGCCAACCATGTGAATTGGAGCCCAACTAGTCACCAGGGCTCCTGTACTATGAGAAGCTGCTTTCAATGAAAAAGAATATGGCATCAGAATTGGATAAAGTTTTACTAACAACTTTTAATCTGTCAATGACCCAACGGTCATCATTGTGAAATGAAAATGAGGAAGACTTAAAGCACTTGCAATGAAAATTAAAGACTACAGCCTTCAGAGTGTATTACAACTCAATATAAAGAAAATTAAAATTCTCACAACTGAATGACTGTCAAGAATTTCATTTTGCTGGGGTCCAAAATCAATCCTGATGGAAGCAGTAGGGGAGAAATCAGATCACATGCTGGATTGGGTAGGCGTGTTACACAAGTCCTCTTTAAAGTATTAAAGAGCTAGGATGTCCCTTTGAGCAATAAGGTGCACCTGACCCAAGCCACGGAATTTTCCATTGTTTCACATGCATGCAAACTTTGGACAGTGAATAAAAAAGATAAAGGAACAATTAATTCATTGGGACTTGGTCTTGGCAAGAATACTGAAATTACTGGGGACAACCAGAACAAACGAATCTGTTTGGGGAGAAATATAACCAGAATGCTCCTTGGGAGCAAGGACTTCAAATCTTTGTCTCAAATACTTTAGATAGGACAAAAAGCCCTGGAAAAGGACATAATGCTTATAAAATAGAGGGCCAGCAAAATTAGGAAGTCCTCAACATGTGGATTAGTGCAGTGGCTTCAACAGTTAGCTCTACCATGACAATGAGAATGACACGGGACTGGGCGGTGTGTTGGTGTTTTATAGGGTTGCTATGAAGGGGACACTCAATGACACCTAACAGCCACAGTGAGTCATTTGGGACCTCAGTAAGAATTGTGCTTCCTTCCTCTGTAACCAACCCTCTTGGGACTCACTGTCTTAAATCACGAAGTTTTCACCTGTGTAAATGGATGCTGTTCCAACCAGATGCCTAGCTAAAGAAAAAAAAAATCCTCCAAATTTTCATTTAAAGTATGAGTAATTTTTTCTTATGACACAGGGCATAAATTTATGTAAAAGATAGATAAAATGTAGAAGAAGCCCTCCAAAAGTTTGTGGGGAAATTCCATGATTTTTCAATTCCATCTTTCCGTGAACTCTCTGAAGCCCTTCATCTTAATTCTAGGAGAAACAGAAAGATTCAACAAAGAAGATGAGACGAAATTCAGGTGACATCAGATCACCTTCAATGTCTCCAAGGACACTGCTCCCACTGCTACATGTATTTTGCATTGTTGACTCCACTGCCAACTCATTAGCCACTTTTGAAACTCGGTCACCAAGGACTCTTTTGTTGTTCACTCAGATGTTCCCTATGTACTCAGAGCAAACTAAACATATAAAGGTTGGCATTTCATAATGTGATTTCAAGATCCCTGTGCCCTGCCAAGGAAGATCTGATGTGCCTCTATGCCAAACCCTGGAGGGGGCGTTCCTTTTATTCTGCACCACTCTTGTGTTCCTTTTGAACTAACAAAAGGAATGGAACAAACAAAAGTATTGGAAATATAGGGTCAAGTGTCATCTTAGATTTGGTGAGGAAAGAGGGTGCAGAAAGTATTCTTAATATATCAGGATCAATGAAAGTTTAGGTCAATAGTGTCTGTTGTAAGATTTTTTTTGAAAAGGGCTGTGGGGTGTGTGTGTGTGTGTGTGTGTGTGTGTGTGTGTGTGTGTCCAGGTGCACTCTCTGTGAGAGGTAGGCTTGAGAAGGAAAATATACGGACTATGATATGGGGACAGAAGCAAACACACTTCTTCACCAGTACAATTATCTCCTAATTGGGGTTCCGTCAAGAACTTCTGATGAAATACTGTCAGAAAAGTAAGTATGCAACACTGATGGCATATTGTTCCATAATCTCTAAACAGAAAGGTAGAGAAATGTGTGTTTCAGTTCATTACTATGGATATTTCAGCAAGAGAGTAAATAGTAATGCATTATTTTTTGTTATTCTGAGAACCTGATATTAGAATTTTCCTGTGGTGATCCTTTTATCCTTTGCAAGGGCCAATCGTACATTCCAGCCAAGGAAACTGTTACTACTTAAGATGCAAAATAGAAAGGACAGAGGAAAAGATATCTCCTCCCAGTAATATCCCCTACTGTCACAGAAATCCAATAGCATACGGATTACAAACCACCTTATAGGTAGCATAATCTTATAACCTGTAATATAAATTCCTTCTGCCACTTTCAAGAGCAGGAAGAATGGTACCACTCAACGCATCTTAAATCTCAACTGTTCCAGATTATGGGCAGCCTTCTCCCAAATGAAGACTTACTGAAATTTGTTCTAGACATAAGTAAGGTATCTGTATCATAAAAGAATTTACTAGGTCATCAATAAAGGGGGGGGAAACCTAAATCTCAATCACTCTAATTGTCTTCTTAAGTGGCAGTGACAAGACTTAATTTTGCATAGAATGTTGTATTGATACATTAAATTAATAATCACTCAGATATAATTAATTTCACAAGCCATTTCTTTCACAAGCAGAAAATAAAAATTTTCAAAAGGGTTAGCAGACAATAGTTTTAGAATCTAGGAACTTTGTAGCCAAAAGAGGGCTCGAGTGAGAAACTTAATAGCCACTACAAGGACATAGGGTACAAACAATGAATGTGCTCAGCTAATCATCCGAATGCTGGCAGTTCCATCCATACAGTGGAACTTAAGAAAGGCACAAAATATGTCTCCAACAATCAGCATTGAAAACAATATGCAGCACAATTGTATGTAGACACAAATGGGGTCACCATGACTTAAAATAAACTTGACTGCAATTGGTGTCCATAACACAGTAGGTGGGTAGGAAGAAAGAATGGAGAGAGATGTGGGACTGTCGATATGCACCTGACCAGCCCTCAGTCTGTCCTATCAAACTCTGCTCTTTGGGGCGTCACAGGATTGACCAAATACCACTTCTCCAGTACACCATTTCTCTCATAAGCTGAGGTGGGTTTCCTGTTCTTAAGGCCACTTTTTTATCCTTATGTAATATCCCCTGCAGTGTAGTTTATGGTGTCAGGTAACACTGCCAGCATTACTAGAAGAAATAGCCAGGAGACAAAGTGAAGATATTAAAGTAGAATAGAAAAACTCAGAATGATTGTGGAGGAAAAAGCATGTAAATCATGTATGCACACATTTCTCCTTTAACAAGCACCTCTCACTAATTAAAAAAGACAAATAATGAGACAATATATTGTTGTTTTTAACTAATGGTATCCCCTGTGAGAATGGCTGCACCAGATCTTCTTTTATAGGACCCCTTAGGTGAGAGCAGATGCTCCCAATGGGAAATTCACCGAATGCTGGCTTTGCCATCGATGAGAGGGGATCTTGTTGAGATCTTCTCTCTCCCACCGACTAGAATTCCCGCGAAGGTATAAATATTAGAGTGCAGTGAAATATTTCATGAAATATGATAAGAGGAGCTGAGGGTGGTAATGCCTAGGGAAAAGTGGGTTTTACAACATTGGTTAATATTTGGTCAGCTTCTTCCTGGATTGGCAAGGTCCATTTATCAAGAAGTCAGGAGATAAGCAGAGGGTTAGAAGAGAATTGGTAAATTCAAAGGGGGAGGTGGCTTAAGGAGATGAGCAGCAGCCATTGATGAAAGACGTCACTAAAACATACAAGGCAAATTAAGAAGGCTACGTACTACTGAGAAGAGTTCCGTGGTTGAGCAGTCCGCTAGAGCCAGTGGCAAAGACCACTCCTGGCTCTGGCCATTGACCAAAGGACATGGCAGGATAAATCCAGTTGATACGTTTATATTCAGCTTTCAGGAAAATTATCCAGGAAACCCTCCACTTAAATGCTGGTTTCCAATTGCTTTCGTGTATTTAAATACAGGATAAACAAAGCAACTCCTTTACATTTTCAACATTTGGTTCCTAATTTGAGATAATTTTAAATGCAAACACTTTATCCAAACCTTTGAAGTAATTTTGCATCTATTAAAATACAATTGGATATCTTAACAAAATACTATTTGACAAAACTTTCTATGTTCCAAAAGTGTAGCTTAAAAGTAATATGGTAAAAGCAAAGAAAAAGGAGAATGGAAGGAAAAAATTGTGCAAAATTATGAAATAATCCGTAACATTTTAATCCGTATTATGAAATAATAATAATCCGTAACTATTAAATACTGTGTTCCAGTGCAATGATAAAGAGAAATGGCATATATGAAATAAGATAGATGATTAATGCTTCGTGTTCTCAGTTGATATCTTTATAAAAATCGCTTCTAATCGATTCTAAGGTGTTTAAGCCTGAGGTTCATATCTAAATAATTCTAGTAAAGTTCTACAATCCAAATATGAAATGCATCCCATTAATACTGTTTGCAACTTTCTTCATGATACCAGCTGTCAATTCTCTCTTCAGGCTCAGTCATTCCTGACGTGACCCAAGAAGGGGATGAGAAATCACACAGCAATAACAACATTCATCTTGCTGGGGATGACAGATAACCCAAGATTACAAATTCTGATTTTGATATTTTTATTTTTTACCTACTTTTTGAGTGTGGCTGGGAATCTGACAATTATCATCCTCACACTTCTGGATTCCCATCTTAAAACTCCCATGTATTTTTTCCTCCGAAATTTCTCTTTCTTGGAAGTCTCATTCACCACTGTCTGTATTCCCAGATACCTCTACAGCCTGACAACTGGTGATAACACTATTACCTATAATGCGTGTGCCACCCAAATATTTTTTGGGGTCCTCTTTGGAGCAACTGAATTTTTTCTCCTTGCTGCCATGTCCTATGACCGCTATGTGGCCATCTGTAAGCCCTTGCACTACATGACCATCATGAGCAACAAGGTCTGCACTAGAATCATGATCTTCTGTTGGTTTTCTGGCTTGTTAATTATTGTCCCACCGCTTAGCATGGGTCTCAAGCTGGAATTTTGTAACTCAAATCTCATTGATAGTTTTGGCTGTGATGTATATCCTATTTTATTGATCTCCTGTTCGGACATAGTTTTTATAGAAAAAATTATTTTAGCTTTTGCTGTGCTAACATTGATTATTACCTTACTGGGTGTGGTTCTGTCCTACACTTACATCATAAAAACGATTTTAAAGTTCCCTTCTGTTCAACAAAGAAAAAAGGCTTTTTCCACCTGTTCTTCTCACATGATTGTGGTTTCCATGACCTATGGCAGCTGCATCTTTGCCTACGTGAAACCAAGTAAGGAAGGAGTGTACCTTAACAAGATCGTGGGCATACTCACGACGTCGGTGGCCCCTATGCTTAACCCTTTCATTTATACCCTCAGAAACAAACAAGTAAAAGATGCCTTCAAAAACTCAATAAAAATGATTGCATTTCACACAAAGAAGTGAAAGCCATTCATTTTTGTGGCTCCATTAAGTTAGCAAGCCACATAGGAATAAACTATGAGCATCGTGTACAAATTTGCCAAACACAAGGCTTTCTCTTCCTCTTCTAAATATTAGTCAGACTACCTCTCCCTGTGAATAGTTTCTCCCATAATCAGAAAGAAGTGGGAAAAAATATCAAGCTACTTAACTCTCTTTCCTAGTCCTTCATAAAGTTTCATACCATGAACGTATTACTCTAAGACTAGAATCTCAAAATACTCCATTTTATAAAAAGTAAATTAAATATATTTATTTGCGCTTATGATCTACTTGTGATGTGGCTTCTAAATTCCAGAGAATATTTATTATTTGTTAGAAACACATTATTGTCTAACTCCCAACTTTTTAATAATCTCAAATCGAACCTACTGCTACTGAGTCAGTTCCAACTCATAGAGACTTCATAAGGCCGTGTAGAAGTGCTCCTTCCGGGTTTCTAAGACTGTGCCTCGTGATGAGATCACCCTCATCCTTCTCCAAAGGTTGGACTGGTGAGTTTTAAATGTCAACCTTGCATTAGCAATCCAAGCATAACTGACTCTGCTTTCAGGGTTCTTAATTTTTCAGGAGTAATTAAAATTAATGTATAGAAGCTTAAAATGTGATATAACAAAATTGTGTACTCCAAAACTCTCCCCATTTTAAAGTTTTCAGAATATTCCTATATAATTTCTTGGTCCAAGGATAAAATAAAAGGCACTAATGTGACCATCAGAAAGATGGTAGAGATAGCTTTCATTTTTCTTTTCATTTATTCACAACATTTTTCTACTGCCTAACGTGAAAATTATTTGTCTCTAGTTCATCCTGACATATAACTAGAGAAAAGCAAGAACCAGTATTTCAAGTGTTGGGTGTCTTCTACTGACAAAGACATTAATAGTGTTTACAAGTAGAATCACGGAGAACAATCTCTGAGTTTAGAAGCAAGATAACTAGATCGTGTCTGAGTAATGTCTCCAACTATTGCAGGGTTCAACTGTACTTTATGTTCATGAAACTTTCCAGAGTACAAATGATCATCAAATATATATATAGATAGTCCATAATTTAAGAAAATATGTTCACAGAAATTGTTTTAGTTAGAAAAGACTGACTTCTGGAGACCCAATCCAGGCATAGTGTGAAAAAATGAATGGGCCTCAAGATGCGGTAGAAGAAACCATAAAAAGGAACAAGAATCAGTAACTTAGACCTACGGGCTGTTAACTTTTTTCTATAAGATGTTAAAAACCCTGTATCTTTGTTTTTATCTTTTTGAAAATAAATGTTTATCATTTTACATGCATTAAAAGTTGTTTTATGTTTAATGAGTATTATCTCATTGCTTAGACCTACTTTATAACTTCACAATGCATTCAAAATGCACACAAGCCCATGCTGATGAAATGTGCATAGGATCTGTACACTTTAAAATTCCTCTAGAGAAAGGGATTTGATTCTCATAAACTGTTCTCATTTTCAACCACTTAAAACCCTTTAAAAATCTACCAGTGTGCTAATGTCTTTCCTACAATTAATAAAACATGCTTCTATAATATGTGCACTATGTATTTAGTTGGTCAATTTACCAGAGTTGTACCTTTTTAATAGCACAATCTGTATTGCTAAATGACATTCTTTGCAATACCTGTGTCTCCAGTTTGTAAAAGCTTTGAGTGATAATGGACAAATTTAAACATTCATACACTGTAGAAATTTAAAAAGAGTTCCAGTAAGTCATTACCACTTACCTAGCAGGACCTAAGTATACTTGGAAAACAATTATTACCCAAATAATAATAATTATTTGGTAATGAAGGTAATGTCTTTTATTTGAATAAGACTAATAATGCAAATGAAGTTTTCTCATAAAAGGTAACCAATGAGCTTTTTCTCCTTGTGTTCATCCATTCACCTTTCTAAGAAGGAACATAAAGGGGTGTTGTTATGCAGGGTTTTAAAGCTTCAGTCTGAAGGGGGGAAGCAGAAAAAGATCACACTTGGATGCATCTATGGTTCCTAAAACTGACCTTACATTGTATTGAAATTGATCATGACTTTTCACTTGGCACACCGCTTTCAAAATATAGTAAGAACGATGACACTTAAAATTGTACATGTTGGCTAGAGAAATTTCACCGAGCAGGGAGAATACTTTAGAGGCAAGTCTGTCCTGAAGAAGGGATGACTGCTCATTACTCTACCTTATGGCCTGTGTTCCTTTTACAAAGACCTTCAGAATGATCAATGATTCCAAAAGGGTTGGGAAAGAAGGAGGAATGAAAACGGGAAATGCATGAAGGAAGTGGACTAAGAGTGGTTATATTGTGGGAATAACAATAAATGCCATGAAACAAAATGTGTAAACATTGTTAAATAAAACACTGATCTGCATTGTAAATCTTAACCAAATTCACAATAACGTTTGTCAGTAATAAAAATCTGTATGCTTTTATTATTTATAAACTATATCTTCATTGTAGCCCATCACCTTTTCTCTATCAATTCTTGTGAAGTCCTTCATCTCTTAATCAGAGAGCGTTCAGTTTGAGATCAGAGTTCAGAGCATAGTTGGAAGTGTTACCTGATGATTAAGAAAATGAGCAGGTGAGCATGAAAAATCTTAGAAATAGAGTAAAAGAAGAAATACAACTCCAAAATAAAAGGGCCTCAGAAAGTTCTGAGAAAAAGTGGAATTCATATATAATATGAAGAAACTTGAGAGATAGTTATGTTGCTCCTGTCATCATTCTCTCATTCATTCATTCAAGAGTTATTTGCGGAGTGCTTACAAAGCCCCAGAATTTGGGTTCTACACTGGACTGTAACACTGGATCTACAGGACAAAGATCTCTGACACACAGAACGGATGTTGTAATCTCAGAAAAGAAACACAGGATGCTAAGAATTACATGTGGGCCTCCCTAACGCACCCTTTCCTTGATCTTTAGAATACTTCACTCAAGGGTCTTGGGAAAGCAAAATAAATACAATTCTAAATTAAATGACAATGATGTTAGTAAGCCAATGTGATCCATGGCTACTTGAATGATTTAACTAAACAGACGGTTGGAGATCACTTTTAAAATCTACTCAGTGCAAGGGTTCCATTCAAGGCTATGTTCCACCTCTCCCGGTCTATTCCTTTGCCTGCTGATGCCCTGCGTTTGATGTTTTAATTAGGATATCATCACCAGTCCTAATGTGACTGCTTTTCTCAAAGATCTATTTAACTTTTGTTCCTAAAAATGGCAACAAAAGCAACATTAATCCCTTTGGGACCAGGAACCCAAGGGAACACATTGTTTGTCAGCACAATTGATCCCAAAGTGGATGTCCTTACTAGAGACATAATTTTATTTCTTTTGATATTTAAAACTCTACAAAAAAGAAAATATATTCCTTGCTGAATATTCAGCAACATTTTCTTAGAAGGAGAAGAAACCCTAGACATTCTCTAACATTCTCATTTTTTCTTATAATGTTATAAATACCTAATTATTGTAGAGCTAGTGGTATAATGCATAGAATGGAAAATAGAAAGAAGTAAATCTGCACCAAAACAACAATTTAATATGAGGAAGCTTCCAAAAGTTTATAGAGAAAAAGAATGAAATATAACAGAATTTTCTACTATAATTTTGAAGTTCCCTTGTGTATGTGTGATAAGCCATGAAAAGTTAGAAATACAAGAGATTTCACAAGGTCACAAAGATCATATTGCCACAGATCATGGGTATTTATTGAAAGAATTCCCTTATTAAAAGAATTTCCCAAGGGAAAAATGATAACACTTATATAATTATATTGTCAGACATGTTCCCAATAGCATGTGGAACAACAATAAAATCATTAAAAACTATGAACTGTATATTCTTATTGCCAACCTCATTTTGCCATTATTATTCATTATAATGATACTCCATACTGATTGTGCCCTTATTACAGAAAAGGGAGCTGAGGCACAGAATCAAAGGTACCTAAGAGGTGTGAAGGCTAATTGCTGAAACTAGGTAATCTGGATCTTGATTTCATGTACATAATCAGAGTATCATAAAGCTCACTCCATGAGAGATGCTCTACTGACAAGACACATGGCTCTATGTTGATAGAGCCCGTTCCCTGGGAACTGGAGGAGCCACATGGAGACCCCTGTCAGCACTGAGATGCTTCTACCGCCACTGGATCCACAAGACTTTAAACCTACTGGCCTGTGATCTTCCTGTATTTGGCATCATTGCATGTGCTTCTTGAGTTTGAAGAGGCCATATATAGATTGGAATCAGACATATAATCTAATACCAGACTGGGTTGGGATGTTTTCTCAATATTCAATTGCTCTTGAATATGCAGATGAGTGTCTATGAATTTGTTTCTCTAGTCTACCCAGACAAACACAGCTTCCTAGTCTGGAAGATCCTATGGGGAGATAGAAGTTCAGTTGCACATAGAAAATATTTATGAAAATATAAAAACAAGTAAATAGATTAATCAAGTTAATGATCATCAAGAAAAGGGCCCTCGATACAAATTTTCATCTGTAAAAGGATATATAAACTATAAAAGACCTGTAACACGCAATAACTGATTAATATGAGAAATAACTGAAAACTGTGTCTGAATTATAGAATTTTAGTGTGGACAACTGGAAGTATACTACCACTGACACAAGTCTTAGTAGTTTTCCTAAAACAGGTTGACTACGTCACAGGGGCAAAAACAAACTAACAAAAAGGGTTCTCCTGGCAGAGAAGTGACATGGGAGTCTCTTTTTATTTCCCTTTGTTTTTTAATATTTTTTGAAATTGGTCTATCTCCATCACAGGTTAATTTTTTCAGTCCCCCCACTCATATTTCTTGCATGGTCATCCAAAAATGTCTTTGAAGGGTTTTGGCTTTTGATGTTTACTCTCTGGACTTCTACAAAAACTTCCAATTGAGGACAGATTGAAGTAAAAATTCCTTTCCATGGTATTATA